AGAATCCTGATTATTGTTCACTTTGTGAAATAAATTGCATCACCTTTTGAGTCTTTTGCCAAAGGGAGAGAGAGTCTGTGCTATTAGATAACCTCTTTAACTTCTAATTGGTTTAACATGTTAAACCAATAAGCAAACTCGCTAATTATTTTTGTTTTGAGAGATTAATCTATTTCTTTAATATTATTTAATCAGTTTGTTGGCAGAAAATACAAACAATAGATCACTCCATTTCATACAATAAATTATCCCACCAAAAATAGCAACAGTCTGGTGAGAACATTTAATTCACTGTCGATGCATATCTGTGTACACACTTTAAATGACCTTATATTACTAATGCATGCAAGTGCTTTACAGAAGAAAATGGAGACCTCTTGATCAGTTCTGGTCCTGGTAACACTAAGTGAAAAAGTGTCATTTAGTCTGATGGGTCGATGTGATTCAGGTCTGGCAAGAAAAAGAGGGTATGGAAAGGCCAAGACGTTTTAGTGCATCGTAGTCTCAGGAAATAATTTAAAACCAGTGCAGTGATTCAAGCTTTAGTTTCATGGCCTTGTCAGTTGGGTTTTGGATAAATTGCAGTCTCTGTCCTGTTTTGATAGGAAACCCTTTATTCTAGCAATTAAACAGAGTATGAAATGTTCTTTTATATCTATTTTTATAATATAGCTATATATCCTAATGTAAACCAAGAGGAGCATGTAGACTTTGAGTAAACATGGACCAAGAATCGAATCATGGCTAAACTTATGTCTGCTTGTACCATTTATGATCGTCAATGATTCATGCACATTATAGCCAGACAAGTTAGAGTTAAACCAATATAGCACAGCATCCAGAGAATAAATAAAATTGTGGGTAGTTTGGTTTTATCCACCTGAAGCACACAGTTATATGGAAAACAATAGTTTTACATTAACTAGAAATGAGCACATCTAAATATTAAACAGTGAATGAAAGTTGCAGTGATCATTTGGATTAATGTAAGAATGGCACATTTAGCAGATCAAGCATCTAGAAGAATATCTATCAATTGACTGACCTACCTACCGAAAAAAATAAATAAATGTGTATAGCTGCAGGTGTATTTTTATATAAGAGAAATTTTCTTCCATTTTAAATTAATCCCGAATTCCCAACATATTACCTCGTTGCTTAGTTATTTGCCATTTAAAATTACTGAAGTTGTGTAGCTCAACTGTTTTTATTCTTTTCCCTTTATTTTTGACGTGACTTTTTAATTAAAGCGCTTCAGTTGACAGAATCCTAATTTGTGAAAAACAGAAATGCAGCGAGAGCACGAACACAAACATCTCAAGTGATCAAGCACAGACCGCAAGAGGTACGACTGGTGCCACTGTTATATCATAGAGCATTGTCTTGACAGCCACTTAGTGTCTGATTGACCTGGAACCCTCTGAGGTTGTGTTTTCTTGTTTTTTTACATCGCGGCTCATCAGATATCCTGGGCAGTCCTGGAGTGGTCTCATCTCAGCGCCTTGACACTTGGCAACAGAGCCAAGCGCTCTCACAAAAAATTGCCCCCCTTTTTCTTACTGAGACGCTGGTGCTCTCCATCTCTAGTGCCTCAGTCATTTTCCTCCCCGGCCTGTATGCATGCACAAAAATCACCTCCCTGGCCCGCTCACTGAAGTTCATCTGACACGGTGCAGTGGTGTAATGACTCAAGGTTAAGAGCTTGTCTGCCAGGTGCAGCGATGAGTGTCAAAGCTTCAGGTATCAGGTTTAAGGGCTCCATTTTTACTAGTATATCTGGAAAACTGCTTTTTATTCTCTTCTTCTGATGAAGAAGCAATATAAAATTTAGACTTTTGTGGGCTTTGATCTTTATTCTAATTCAAAGTGCAGCATTTCCTTTGGAGTTTAATTGGGCTGATTAACTTAGATACAAGCAAGAAGTTATTACACACAGTGGAAACAAGGTGTTTACACTGTAAGACACATACACACACACATACTGTACGTATATTTTTTCTTACTGTCTGAAGTTTAATCAGACCAGCCTTCACCACACTGGGTGCAGATCATGTTCCTCAGTGTCATTTCTGGCAGCTGAGAACAGAAAACTGAGACTAATTTACTCAGACTACCCAAAATTACACGATAACAGAATGGAAAGATATTGCAGGGTCTAATGGTTCTCGAGGTCAGAATTTTGCGTTAGCATCTTAAAAGCATTGATTAACACTGTCCTGCATCAACAGTTTGAGTTGATGCAGGTGGTGTGGGGAGACTTTCTTAGCAAACTTTACCAACTTCACAGATTCACATGATGCAACAAATCTACAGCAATAGTTACTGCAACAACATCAGGATATTTATTTATTTTTATTTTTATTTTTATTTTGCAGTTTTATGTAGGATATTCCACCCTGAATAAAGAACAGTTCAGATAAGTTATTAAAGGCAAAAAAGAAACGGTGAACTCTTGTCTTTTTGGTATAGTCGTTCCTTGGTTAAAATATTTACCATGAAATTGTTAAGTATCACATTCTGTAAAGAAATGAAACATAATTTTTGTATTGCTCAAAACCACTGCAAGGAAACTTTGTTATAATGTAACATTTTTTAAGAATCATATTTTTTCTTTTAAATATTTAAAAAAGGTTTATTTTAGTAACAGAATTTCTTGATGCCTGAGAAGTTGACTATTTGAAGTCAGAATAATATAAATGCAACTTCTCTGAAAAGTAATTAAATCTGCAAACTGTTCAGTAAAAATAATTATCTGGGAAAACAAAGTTTTCATTCAGGTTCTGACAATTTGGTTAAGAATTTCTCTTCTACAGAAATTTTTATCCTGTTTGCTGTGTTTCTATCACATTGATGGCTAAAGTAGTTTAATATTTTTGCATTGTTTCCTTAATAAAAACAAACATTCAAATCCTAGTGAGGGGATGACTTCTAATTACAATGATATTTCCCCCAAAACATGACACATCCTCAATATTATTTGCAAATAACCCGATTTCCACGGACTCTGCTGAGGATGTGCGAATGACTTCGGTGACCGTGATGTGGATATTTTGCACAGCCGGGTTTGTTTACCATCACATAAGATTACATTATATTAGAAACAATTGCATGAAGTACACAGTAAAATGAAATTATGGTTAACGTCATCCTGAAAAGATGAATTTCCCTCAGTCAGCAGCTGTTTGCATCACATTAATTCTTTGGCAAAGATTAGCGCTGTATGCACAGGAAAGCTGAGTCGAGTCGTTTGTCTTGGAATCAGGCACTTCACTTGGAATTAATTATTCCTCATATGGGAAGGAATGGCAAAAAAAAAATCTCACTCTATCTGGACTTCATTTGTTACAATTACAGTCCAGGCAAAAAGAGAACATATTCTGACACATGGAGTAATTTGGCCCATTCATCAGCAGGTGCTGTAGTTACACTTCTCACCAGTGCTCCAAACAGAAGTGCGAGAAGACCGGATCAGTCAGGAAAGGAACTGGTTGGGTGCTAGAACAGCAGCCAATTGAGCGGCTACTGATACTAAAGATGTTTAGTATCTTTGTAATTAAATTGGAAAACTTATGTTCAGAGTTAGGAAGTAAAGAAATTAGGAAAGACGATTCAAAATATATATTTTTCTCCCTCTACAAGGAATCCTATTGTGGTTGCAGTAAAAGTTGGTATATTTCTCATAGTTTTATTTATTCATTGAAATAAATTTACTCATTAAATCCATACATCCTTCCATTATCTTTTTGGGGGTCTGGTTGCGGGGGCAGCAGCCTAAGCGGAGAGGCCTGGACTTCTCTCTCCTCAACTCCTCCAGGGGAACTCCAATTCCCGTAACAGCTGAGAAACATAGTCCCTCTACGATGCACAAGATCTCCTTCCAGTGAGACTTACCCAGAACATTTCAGCAGAGAGTATCCAGGAGGTGTCCTAACCACTTCGACTGGTTTCTTTTTGATGTGTTGAAGCAGCGGCTCTACTTTGATTCCCTCCTGGATCATCGACCTTCTCACTCCATCTCTCAGGGTGAACACAGACACCCTGCAGAGGAAACTAATTTCAGCAGCTCATGTCTGTGATCTTCTTCTTTCAGCCAATACTCAAAGCTTATGACCACAGATGAGGGTAGGAACGTAGAATGGCTGGGAAATAGCGCAAACATAACTGCAGCTCCAGCACCAATCTGCCTGTCAACCCCAAGATACTTCAATCCTTTAACACATGGCAGGACCTCTTTCCTTACCTGGAGAATGTTCTCTACCATTTTCTAGCTCAAGACCATGGTCTTAAGTTCACAGGCATACAACAACCAATAATAAAAGACCTGGTACCCCATACTCCTAGAGTACACTCTCCAAAGAACACCGTCAAATACAGCTTCGCCAATTCTTCACATGAGGCCGCAGATCACATGAGACGACGCAAAGTCCTTCATCGAACTGCAGCCCAGGGTGTCCTGGTGCCAAGAGCACATATGGACATGTTTTTGCTTGTATATAGTGTTAATTATGTCCATAAAGAGAACAGGAATCCCACCATTAGGCCTAAACTGCCATTTTCATTAGGAGACATAAATGATCATATTTTCAACCTTAACAGAGATGAGCTCAGAAAAGCACTGTGCAGTGGTGAAAATAAAATACTATTGGACTATATTAAGTCTATAAAAGGATTGACGGAAAAGTAAAAAATAAAAAAGAAATCAAAAAGGATTTCTTCTGTAACCATGGTAACCAAAACAGCGTATTTCAGAGGAAACAGTCGTGTGTTTCAAACCTAATTTAAAGCCAATTTCCTCCTTTGGTGGCTGATTGTGAAATGAAGTATTTGCAATTACCTTAAAAATGCAAAGAGTAGAAAACAATCTTATGTAAAAAACTTTTGTGTTTTTGGATACCATCTTCCCATGACCGGCTTTTGTGCCCCTTTCTGGGTTAATCCCAATGAAGCGATTAAAAAACTAAATCAAAAATGGGACAATTCCTGAGAATATAAATAGTGTGGCATTCTGAATACAGCTGGTAAAATATATAAATAAAGCTATTTTTAATTATGTTAAGAGAAAACATCACCACCTTTATCAAATGTTAATCATAATTTGCTTTAAAACCATGTCATTGTAAAAAGAAATACAGGAATGGTTTTACCGTTGAATGAACCAAAGTCTTGGTTGCCTCATTGGAGGCTGAAGATGTAGAAGATGGACAACACTGTCATGTCTGGAATGTTGGCTGGACCCTCTCAAAGACAATATGGCCTTCAATGCTGACCATGCAGAAAACTGCTTGCCACAGGGACTGTAATAAACCAAGTTCTTAATTGGAAGAACATAAAACAAATCCTCTTATTGATACAGTATGCATTTAAATGATCATCATAATAAATAGTGTCCACTCTGTCAGGTAAAGTAAAAGCAAGGATCTTAAACTCCTCAATTGTCGTGGAAGTCACATCAATGTTGAAAACTGTAGGCTGGATTAATTTACAGAAGTTGTAGAGGAATTCATGATACTTTGCACTGAAGGCGAAGTGTGCTTTGGAAGTTCATCAAAAGCTACCTTGGATGATCTTGTGATCACTGATGGTGAAGTGTCTTTGGTGCTGCTCTTGTTTTCACCAACATGCAGGAGGAAGGGCTGTCCTGGTTGCACGGCAATGAGGAAGGGTTCAACACTGGCTTGCATCTTTGACATAATGATAAGAGGACGAATAATAAAAAATATTAAATATATTTAGCAGCACAGCTACATTCAGATAGCAAACAAAGCCAATGAGAAAGTGCTTCTACAAAGTAGGATCATTAGAATAACCACATACCTGCACATATCTGAAAACATGGTCCACAGTTTGACATGAGCTGTTTTGGATTCTTCTTGTGGCCTTTGGATGTAGGACGAAGCACATGAACCAACAGAAGAATGCCTGGTTTTCCCAGCCTGGAGGAACAACAGGATAAATAGCAGACACATTAGGATAATAAATACAGATTTTAAAGAGAAGTGAGCAAAACTAACCAGACCCACCAAAATATTTTGTCCACCCGGTTTACCCTGGAGAGCATTTTTCACCACCTACAACATAAAGAAACTAGTCAACTTGTAGAAACATTATGGAGAGGACAGCACAGCCACTCTCCCCATTATGCCGTCTATAGCCGAAAACTTCAAGAAAACGACTCCGCAGCTAAATAATGTTAACTCAAACGGCCTTTCTGACAGTTTTAATGTTCGTTTAACCACCCGACACCCCGTGCTACACCTGCTTGGCTAGCTTTAGCTGCTAACAAAAACAATAAACCAAGGGTGCTCACGTCCAGTCCTCGAGAGGTCCTGCAACTTTTCGATGCATCTTTACTCCAACAGACCAGGATCAGCTCCGAACAGACCTGCTAACCAGCCATTCATTTGATTCAGGTGTGTTAATTGGCGCAGGGAAGCATCTGAAAGTTGCAGGATGGCAGCTCTCAAGGACTGGACTTGAGCTCCCCTGTACTGAACAGTCGTACCGCGATATCCAAACAAATAAACTTACATTAAGCATAAGTTGATACTCTTGCGCAAACAGAAAGTTAATGCATTCATTAAAAATAATCAAAATCAAAAACATGATGGTCTTAACATGAAACTTACCTTGTTTTTTTGTTTGTTTGTTTTTTAATAGATCTTTATTGAGATACAGAATACATAACAGTATAAACGCAGCATACATTGTGGTATAATGTCCGCCAGGGAGTTACAAACATTGAGACAACACATCACCATCACATTACATAAATACATTAAAGAAAGAACATAAAGAGCATGTTTTAATAGGTTTGGGGAACTTACCTTGTTATGATAAGATCCAGACAAGAAGCCATACTGCTGTTTCCCGGGCAAACACGTGACGTCACAGATACGTAGCGATTGTGGGAGCAACTCTTTATCAAACACCATCTCTTTAGGGAAACTGACAAACCTATCTTTGAATTTGACTAAACAAGTGTTTAATTAACATTGTATTTTTAACATACAACACCAGCACTGGTATTGCTCTGTAGATTTCGATTCATTCCCAAAAAGATTTATTATGGAAAGTATGTTTTTTCTTTCCGTTTAATATTGTCTTTAAATGCCGGTTCTCTAAGATGCAAATACAAGTAAAATGTCTTTCCTGGGAACAAAACTGTATTGTACAATTATTTTATGATAGTTTACTGCCTGTCATCAGTCTTGATTGTGACAACAGAAGAAGACATCAAATTGACAATATCCCACGGTATTTTGGAATAACAGTATGTTACTGCTGGAATTCCACTGTAAATTTACAGCCATTTCTAAGAGTGTATAATGCAAAGTATATAAACAGGTGAATACATACATACATTGTCCTATACATAATAATTTGAATGTATTTTATATTTGTTATAATACACATTAACAGAACACATATAATTTAAAGATAAATGACCATTAGGTGAATAAGAGCTTATTTGAATTTCAGATTTCTTTTTCTCCCACCGTTACAAAGAAAAGACGAGGGATGAAAACGAACGTTTCAGCTAAAGAGTAAAGTCTTTCGATTTCACTTTACAGGATGAAGACTTTGTCCTGACAATAGTGTCCCTTTCCTGGGCCATATCCAGCATTTGTAGCATAAGCCTCTTAATGGGAGGAAGACAGAATACTTTCCAAATGGTGCTGTTAAAACATGAGAACAAGTTAGGAATATTTAATTGGATACTTGTACTGAATGTTCATTTGCATTATAATCATCCTCTGGGGGTTACAATTTAAAATCACTTAATATTGTAATGTTATTAGTGCACCTTCAAGCAGTCACAGTCAGCTTCATGTTCAGTTCATTTCTTAGGGAGTTATCCTAAGACCCATGTTATCGTTGTAAATTCTCCTCTAAGCTGCCGCAGTCTCTCTACTCCATGCTTTCTGTACGATAAGCGATTACTTCAGGTGACAGACTTGGAAGAAGACTTGAATCTCTCCCCAAGCTTTTTTTTTTTTTTTTTTTTTTTTTTTTTGTGACCACCTGAAAAGCCAGTGACTTGTCTCATGGCGAGAACAGTCTGCTGCTTACTGGGCACCACAGGGTGAAGGAGAGATGAAATCAATGAGGCCATGTTTAGATTATGATCAGCAGCAGACTGGTAATCTATTCCAGAAGCTCCATATGGAATCAATATACCTATGACTGAGAAAGGAATCAATACAGTCTTTCAACAGAGATGGCTCCTGAGGGAGCAGACTGAACAGCAGAAACCAAAGTACCAAAAGAATAAGAAATCTATGTAACAGAAACGGTTAGTTTGACTTTAAGACGACTGTATTCATGTGCCGAATGAGAATTCTTCAATTATCTGATAACTTTCACATGCATTTTTTTTTTTCATATTTGAAGTTTCTTGCATTACTTCTTCTTGCAACTGATTCCAGTCAACCATTTAAACTTTGTAAAGGTATTATCTCTAAAACAAGGACACTGCGAGGTCAGGTCTTTTTAAGCTACTATATGGTGGTACAGTGGGAAGCACTGTGGCTTTGTAGCAAGAAACTCTTGGGTTTGCATGTTCTCTTTGAGCATTTGTGGAGGTACTCTGGGGCCTAAAAGCATGATTGTTAAGTTAATTGGTCTTTCTAAATTTCATAGTAATCTGTGGCCCTGTGATAGACTGCCCAATGATTTCTGGGGACAGGCACCAGTAACATAAAACACTAACTTTAATAGGACTGTTCCCTATTAAACCACCCATAATTATTCCAGTATAAAATTTGAATTGGTTAAAAAAAACAAAAAAAACAAACAAACATCAAAAATATGTCACACAAATATCAGATTTACTGGCTACACTTGACTGTAGTTGGTGTCTTTCAATGGACTTGATAGTTGTTTTTAAAACTTAGGGGGGAAAAAGCAGCTAAACTGACTGCATTCTCCATTGAAAATTGAAGCCTTTTTTTCTATAGTTCAAGGTTTTCTCAGTGCACATTTTCTTTCTTCTTCACCGTGTCCTATCCAGATTTGGAGCAATTAGATGTATTGTGCATATGTATGTATACATACATTATTTCCTCAGTGAATAGGTTAAAATGTCTGTGTCAGAATGTCTGTGTGAAGTACATCTTCAGTCCGTAATGGTCTGCCACGATTTGTAAATAAAGCACCCACATAATGAATAATGAGCTTTTTAAAATCCGCAACACAACAGAGAACTACATAATTAATTATCCAGACACTGTAAAATACTGAGGAACGTTGTGTTTTATCGGGCTAAATTAATTGGAGTGGTTAGTATCACATAATACATGTGCTAATAACTTGTTACAACCCTAACCAAACAGCTCTTATCTTTTAATAACACACAGTGGGTTCAACAGCTTTGGTCTGTTCATTTTAATAGGTTCAGTCACTTAATATTCACTGTAACATACAGACAAATGATCAGTGAGCATATTGTGTAAAATGTACACAAGTATTTCTGTATCATTACAATGCAAACTGTGCATCAAAACAAACACCTGTTGGAAGTGATATTGTGTCAAATATCAATAGAAGTGACTTAAAAAAAACATTTTCTTCCTTCTGGACCTTCATTCTGGTTCATTCAGTGATTCAAAGAACAAAAAAACATTTTAATCAAAATCCCTGACAAATGCTTTGTTTATATTATACTGTACTTTTGTAGTATTACCTGTGTCTCACTAGGAGAGTCAGCGTGGTGGCAGATCATGCTTCAGTTTACATTGAGTGCAGAAGAAGAAGACAAAGTAATGAGGGAAAAAAAAGAAAGAAAAAGAAATACTGTTTTATCTATAAGAAACATAGGTAGGAAAATAGTTTTCCCTGTGGACGTAATCTGTCAGAGGAAATCTACCTTACTGCATCATTGTACACAAACTAGAGTAAAAGTTTGCCTTACAAAAAGATCCAATGAGAACTTGCAACAAAAGAAGAAGAATTAGAATCTGGGCTCCACGGCCCTCAAAAGATCTTAAGATATTCTAAAGCAGAGTTGATCATCACCATCTTTTCTACTCATATAAACCCATGATCATCAGTGCGATATTTCATTATGTTTGGCATCTTGTTCTTTCGTTATAAATGCTGTGAGTGAATTAGTATTTTGAATTTAATAACAACCAACGTAGTTACTGGCAAATGCTCTCTTATTTATTTATTTTTTTCGACGTTCACTGCTTTGAAGAATTTCATGCCTCACAAAATATATTTTTAAAAAAAGCCAAGAGTGAAAGTAGATATGCTAATATTTTTTTCCAACTATTTAAACTATGTTTAAAAAGAAAACCACAAGGACACAGAGCTGCAAACAAAAACCTTGAAGATGATAAACAGCAAGAATTTTTAAGCTCATTTCCATTACAAAGCTCAGCCGCTTTGTTACTGCAGCTGAAAAACAACATGGTCGTGAACACGTAAAAGACTATATTTGCACTAGAAGAAATGTCCCAAGCTTGGGTAGAGAATGGCCAAGGGGAAAAGAGCACCACAGCTTGCTTTAAGCTTCATTCAAAGCCACAAAATCCAACAAAAGTAGAATCTTCACTATTTTGAGACTTTGACTCTTTTCTTTGAACTTTACAGCTGTACCTGTTCTGAATAAGAAGATTCCTAGTCACCAGGAGACTGACATGTTAAACCTTTAGAGCGTTGCATGCTTTCACTCTCTCACATACATCCCAAAAATCCCCCCGGAGAGAAGCACAGAGGTGTTACGACAGGGAGGAACGTGTTGATCCGAGGAAATATGAAACCTTCAGAAGAAGTTTTGAAGAGAGGAACTCAAACTGCTGCAATATCTTATGTCCCTGGTCCCACTCAGGTGATTACATATTGAGAAATTAGTTCAGCCTCAAAACAAGGACAGCATCTGGAATAGTTAATTTAAAACATTTTATTTTTATCTGATGCAAGCATGAGATTTTTTTTAACTCTTTAACCTTCAGATTGGTTTAATTTTATCTCAGAGTTGTTGAATTCTGATCATTTCTCTAATTTATTCCTATAGATAAAATAAACACATCAAACACAATGAAAAGATGAA